TGACTCATCAAAGACTCTGGCTTGTAGCTGACCAAAATGGAGAAGGTTTTTTCAGGATGGCAGCGACCACATTGAGAGATTGAGAAACTTTGTTGATATTGTGCACAGGTGAGGATGAGGTATCAGAGACGAGATATAAATCTTCAAAAATCTGCCTCCTCCACACTTCATGTCCTTCCTGCCCCGCCTGTGGCTAAGTCTGCACATCACACATCTGAGTTATTGCTCATGCTAGAAGGTACTGAACTGGAATGGAATTGAGTTATCCACAATTCCGAGGAACTGTCTACAAAAGAATGGTTTTATCTGAGACAGGTTGAAAGGGCAGGTGACCAACTCACTCCCAGGAGGCATGACAAAAATATTTGTGCCTTCAGATTAACCCTATTTATACTGTTTAATCTGCTGTGGACATATTCAGCAGTCATGGGAGAAAAAGAGGTGCAAAGGGCTCAAGATATGACCTCAGTCCCTTCAAAGTATTGTTACTCAACCTGTTCAGAGATCATAGAATCCTTACAGTATGGAAGCAGGCCATTCAGCCCATGAAGCCACACCAACCCTCTGAAGAGCATGCTCCCTACCCTATGCCTGTAACCCTGCATTTCCCATGGAAAAGTCTGCCCATCCCTGGAAACTATGGGCAATTTAGTACAGCCAATCTACCTAACCTGCCCATCTTTGGCCTGTGGGAGGAAACCCACGCAGACGTGAGTTGAATGTGGAAACTCCAAACAGACAGGTGCCCGAGGCTGGAATGAAACCCAGGTCCCTGGACAGTGAGGCAGCAAAACTAACCACTGAGCTGTCCCATTCCTGCATCACAGGAATCCATCTGGAAAACCTTGTTGCGCTCACATCCATAGCCACAACATCCTTTTTCAGATAATGAGACCAAAACTGCACACAATACTCCAGGTGTAGTCTTACCAACGTCCTGTACAGATGCAGCAAGACGTTGCTGCTCGTGGACTCGAATCCTCTCACTAAGGCCAACATACCATTTGCCTTCTTTACCCAACTGCGCCTACGTGCTTACTGATGTACAAGTGCACCCAAGTCTTATGCCACTTTCCCCCTTTCTCACTCGATCACCATTCAAGGAATGATCTGCCTTCTTGTTTTTGGTATTGATGTGAATAACCTTACATTTATCCACATTCTAATTCATCTGCCATACATTTATCCACTTATTCAACTTGTCCAAACCACACTGAAGCATTTCTGCAACCTCCCATTCAACTTTGTGTCATCTGCAAGCTTGGAGTTCTTACATTGAGTTCCCTCATCTAAATCATTGATACATTGTGAAAAGCTGGTGGTCCTAGCACTGATCCCTGTAGTACCCCACTGGTCACATGCTACTATTAAGAAAGGACCAACTTATTCCTCCTGCTTGACAACCAGTTCACTATCTATGTCAATTAGACTACCCCGCAAACCCATGCATTTTAAATTTACTCGCTAATGTCTTACGTGATACCCTATTGAAGGCCTACTGAAAGTCCAATTAAACCACATAAACTGACTCCCCCTCATCAACCCGACAAGTTGCATCCTCGAAAAATTCCAATAGATTTGTAAAGCATGTTCTTCCTTTCCGATCCAGTCACTGTTTACCAAGTGCTCTGCTATTAGAATCTTTTATAACGGATTCTAGCATTGACCCCACTACTGATGTCAGGCTAAACAATCTATAACTTCCTGATTTTTCTTTACCTCCTTTATTAAATAGTGAGGTTACATTAGTTATTTTAGTGTAAATCCTTCATGGCAAAGCTGTAAGTTTTTAAGATTATGTCCTCTCGTTTTGGGTAGTTGTGTAATTACACCTCTGATTAGGTTGATTAGAAAATATCTGCCAGTGAAATGTCAACCAATTGGGCCCTATGGCTCTAATTGTTGTCTGAAATGTAGGGATAGATTTGTTCTCCTCAAAATTCTGTGTACACAAAGGAGAGCATACAGTGTACAAAGTCTCGTGTGATAACACACTGCTGACTTTATTGCTGCATAATGAGTAATTATCTGCTTCAGGCAGTTCCAAATGTCACATTTTACTATATTTTGTGTTGAACTTTATGTACCTGAACATGTATAGCTAAAAAAGTGTCTAAACAAATTGAATTAGAAATACTTTGTTAAATGCATTTGCACACACCTATTCCCAAAGATCATCTGCAGTGATTGCTTTTGAACAAATAAGGGCAAGAAAAATAATTGAAGAGATAGTAGAATTCATGGATATGTAAGGTATAACATTTCATGATTGAAAGTGTATTTTCTCAGCCGGCTTTAAAGTCAAAAAATTTGAACACATCAAAAAAAGGTTAATTTTACTTCCAACAAACTTTTGAAGCTCAGTTTCAAACAAAGTTCCATAAATTCCATACCACCTTCAATTTAGCACCACACATTATTCTTTACTTTGGATATATATGTTATGATAATAATCCTGTGAAATAGAATATGCAAATTGACACATTCAAATAGCTGTTTTGAAAGGAATGCCCAAATATTAGGTTGGGCCAATTAGTGGCAAATTTCTGGAATCCAATGCACAAAATAAAAAGAATTAGGCTGTAGTGCCAGGGAAAGGAGGTAGGTGAAAGAAAAAGTCTCCTGCTAACCGATGTATAATCCCAAAAGTTCCAATTCCAATCAATTCAAATTTTCTTTTTGGTAAAAAAAAATGACACTGCCCACAAGGTTTCAGTTATAATTACATTTCAATTGAATATTAGTTACACTAAGCCATGTGTAAGCAATTAAATATTTCTTTTACAGCTAATGTTGGTTTTTTCAATTGAATTCCCAATTCAATGTCATGCAATCAAAACATAAATTTTACAATAAAGTGCCATCTTGTTGGCTGGTAACTTCAGCACAAATGCATGAATACTCTGGCAGGACTTATATTGTTACATGCCTCTAGAGAAAGTGGGTTTTGAAGCCAGGCCTCCCGGTTCAGGTGTAAGGGCTTTACCATTACAGCGAAGGATACATAAAATAGTGTAACTAAGTCCTCAAAATAATTTAACCAATAACACATCTGCGTTTTTTATGCAACCTGTTTAAATAAATTAGGCACCAGAACACCCCAAGCCTGGTTTTCATGATGATAGCCTTGGCCACTGACAGGAATAACTTGCACGGACAATTTATTAATGTATTACAAATAGCTAGCATATTTCAGTAATGCAAACTTGTGATTGCTGTACAGGAAGGTCTTGTTTCTGAATCAATCATAAGAGGTTCAGTTTTCCATTGTCTAACCCACAGGAGTAACAGAGTCTCAGAAAATGTTCAAGCTTGCAAGTACTTTGCCATATTTACTTCACTGTTTCAGGCCTTGGACCTCCAGCTCATTCAAATCTTCTGAGTCTCTGACACTTCCCAGTGAATTGTATAGCCATGCTGCTGGCATATTTGCAGTTGGGAAGCGCATGTAAAGTGGGACAATAGCGAGACCGCTGAGCTTTCCCCCCGCCCCTCCAATGTAATACTTTGGGAAGGTGGAGCATCATGTAGCTGTTCTCCCTTAGACCAATCATTAGCCAAATTAAAGGTCTGTATACAGACCTGCTGTAATACTAGATATGGCTGACAAAAGTGGAACAAAGGATGCCAGCCCACCACTTTATCATCCCAGCTATAAAAATGGTAAGTAAGCAAGGATTTTATCTCCAACCAGTAGCTGCTGTATTCCAGTTGGGATTCCCCACTGCCAGGATATTTCTTCCCTTTTCACATTCGCCTCCTAAACCCAGCCTGTCCCTCCTATTCCTCGACTCAATCTCCGTAATGTACCCAATTCCTCCCTGTCAATAAAACATAGACTCACCTTAGACTGGTATTCACGTTGTCTTCCTTCTTAGGATGCCTTGTAGTCTGAGCAAGTAGCCATTGCTAATCCTGACACTGCCAGGACTACCCAGAATGAGACTATGAAGATTTGTTAAAGAGTAAAAAGGGATGCTGTAATGTGAAGTTTAAAAGAGCAATGTGTGTGTTTCTGCGCTTGTGTACACACATTCAATTTCAAATGTTAATAAAAGAATGTTTATTCATCTTCAATATCATTTTCAAGCATTGTATTTTTTTTTGTAGTGTTTGGATTTTAAGCTAGTCATATTTTTGTGTAGGGTTTATAAATTAATTATGTGATTCTTTCTGGAACCATGGGTTTTAAACCATATGTGACAGGGAGCAGGTGTTTGCAAGAATGGGATTTTGCTAATAGTGTGGAGGTTTACAATGGGAGAGAAAACACCAAGCCATCAGAATCCAGGATTAGTAAGTATTTGTTTTGATATCATTCAAATACTTTAGTTCAGTTTGATGGTGACCTGATTGGGGTCAGACGTTGCACAGTTTATCCTAGAAAAGAATATTATTCAAAGAAGTTAAAGAGTATCAATGTCCTCAGTGAAAGTTTAGTCTCTCAGTTGTGTGAGTATTCAAGGAAAAAGACTTCAAAATCCACAGGGCAGGAACAGAGAAGAAGCAGTTAAGTCAAATCTATAGATTAGATAGAAAGAAAAATGTTCTCTTGATCAAATGTGAAGTGTTGGTAAAAAGATTGGACTTTGGTTTGCTGTGTGTTTTGAAATTTTTCCAACTTCGTTATATTTAGATTGCTTGGTTTGTTTTATTTGATTTTTATTTCGATGTGTAATAAACTTCTGTTTTAATGTAAAAATCACATCTGTAGCCTTGTGTGCTCATGTTTCAATGAAAGCATAAACAACTTAGCAGCTATCAAGCCAGATTTCATGCTGGGATCTGGCTTGTCCACAAGCAACATTAGCTGGGATCATAAGAGCTCTACCTGTTCAAATGTTCCTGGAAAACCACCTCCAATGTCAAGTAAATACATCTGAAATCCAAGATTAATCTGTAAAATATGGAAAAAAGGTATCCAATTTTGGCACAATGCATAATGGTCAAGCATCAGATTTTCTGTGGTTTCTCATACAGTTTTACGCCGTGGTTTATGAGGTTATCACAATGTTGATTCTTCACTTCCATATCTATCCTCATGTTTTATGGATTTAGTGGATGGTTATTGCAAGTGGATGCCCTTCCTGTTGCTAATACACTTTCATTTACCCTGGCTGGGTTTAGCAACTGTAATGTAATCACCTGTATTTACCTTTAATGTAAAATTTACTGTTTTTATCTCAACCACCAAGTGCAGTAGTCTCAAAGTTGAAAAAATCATGAAGTTTGATTTTTTTTTACGATTATAATAAAAGGATAACCTTTCTGAAATAACTGAACTGATTGCTAAAATGCCAAAAAATGTTTTTGGTCTTATTGTAAATGTATCTTTGAAAATTTCTACTTGTTTATCTTTCAAGCAAAACTCCAAATAAAAACATACCCCAATATCAAAGACAACACGTGCATCAGCTATGGCCTGAGCAAAAATCTTTGGATCAGTACAACCACTTCCAACATGAAAACTGTGAAAAGAAGAGATACCATTAAGGTCCAAATGAAATCCAGGACTTTTAAAATTTGTTTTATGAGATGTAGGGATTGCTGGCTTGGCCAGTTTTTGGCCAAATGTTGACATGGGTCTGGAGACACATGTAGGCAAGACTGGGTAAGGATGGCAAAGTTCCTTGCCTAAAGTCATTTTGTGAACCAGATAGGTTTTTGCAACAATGGATAGTGTTAAATAGTCAGCATTATACCAGCTGTTTTTATTCCAGATTTTTATTGATGATAAACAACAATCCCTGCCATAATGAGATTCAAACCCATGTACTCAGACAATTAACAAGAAGTTCTAGATTACTTGTTCAGTGCCTATGTTGCCACCTAAGGAATATTACAGCCATTCATTTCCTATGAATGTGTCCAGCAGTTTGACAAGAACTCATAGCCACACATATCATTTCTAAACTGAAATGCAGCTTGAACCCGCCAGCAGTGCAATTTTTCAAAGGTGCCCACATTTCTACATTGTAAAATATAGCACGATTTATTGAGCACAATCCTCTCTGTCAATTACAGAATCCCTCTTCCGTCTAACTGTAATGGCCACGTGTCAGAAACAGATGGCTACATTTTCCAAAGATAGTCCGGAACCTGACCTCGAGTCTTTTTCGAGGTCGAAATTTGCTTGACGTCATTGTACAGGTGGCAGCCAATTACTGTCTCATCTCTTCAGTCAGCACCCAGGTCAGGATGACAGGCACATTCAAGAGGCAGGAGCTTTTTGTTGCTGGCCTTATGTAATGGATCTCCATCACCTGTCAATGTTGTTGCAGGCAGACCAATTTATAACTGGGTCTACAAGAGCCTAGTGCACGGTCGACAGTCACAGAAGTGCAGATCAAAGAATCAGCATCAACCGCCTTGAGTTTACGTGAGGAGGAGTGAAAACAGATAATTATGTATTATTTCTGGAGAACAGCAGGAGAAGGCACCCAGTTGGAGTAGGCAGACATGATACAATATGTTAGACGGCTGAGCGGTTATAATCTTTGATCAGGATCTGTGTCGGGTGCAGGAAGTCCCTCCATTCCTCTCTGACATAGGAAATGCTGAATAGCATGCTGGGTGCAGCTGACAGCCATGAAGTAACTGCATGATCTGGATTTCACTTCACCAGACGAAGGAGCATTGCTCCAAAAGCTTGTGCTTTCAAATAAACTGATGTCATGTGACTTCTGACTTGCACCTCACTTAGCAGAATTGAACCTCAAAGCAACGACTGCTCAGGAAAGCTGAGGACATGTGTGACATGTCAACCTTACCCAAGGGACGGTCTCACTGTGCTGCAAATTTTGGACAATGTTAAACTCTTGTATGAATTAATACATGCAAATGTGTCTCGGGGTGTTCAGCTAGAGAGTATTACAGCCTTAAACTCTCTTGATCTTCACCTTGCATGAACAAGAGCAAACAGTGCCTGCCAGAGGAGTGGGGATGGGCAACCAACCTCACAATTTTAACATTAATGGAGAAAGAGGGTTTAATGGCCTTTTTGTATTATTACCTCTTGTATAACAAGGCAACAAAATAGATAATTTTGTATCAGTAGCAGATGTCATCAGTGTAAGCTGTGCAAACCTTCCAATTGAAGCAGGGTTTTCCTATAAATAGGGAATAGTAACACTGATAAATTCTTCCCGATGTGCGTAAAATCATAAAAGCAAGCTAGTCAGTTCAAAAGTAAATACAGATGGACAACTAATGCCGGCTTTGTCAGCGATCCTCAATTCCTATGAAAAAGAATTAAGAAAAAGAAGAAGCAAAAATGTATTTCCTACCTAACACCAATGGTGTCCAAATTCAAGGCCTTTGCATATTCCAGTAGCTGTCTGCACTCAGACATAGATGCTCCAAACTTGCTACTCAAGGGTGATTGGGATGTAAAATCATTTACAGCAATGCGTAGAACCATTCTGAGACAGCAGTAGGAAAATGAATTTAGCATTGCAGAATAAAACAGAATTGCAAGGATCATCTCAAACAAGGAGATCAACCCAAACTAAACGCACCACATTCATTATCTGCCATGCCTATGTAATGTCTCTCATGCCTGATTTCTGCCCAACTTACCATGCGCATCCCTGGAGTAACTTGCCTGTCTGTGCTTTTCTGACAAAAACTTGGCACCTGTTACATTTATGCCATCTTAGTGAGGCATTGTGTACCTGGATGAGCAATCCAAAGCTGCCCAGCTCAATCAAAAACGCAGTGGGAACATTGCAGAGAAGGGAAGGATATTATTAAACTGGAGAGGATTCAGAAAAGATTCACCAAGATGTTGCCGGGAATAGAGGGTTTGAATTATAAAAATAGGGTGGACATGCTGGGACATTTTTCCGCTGGAATGTAGGAGATTGAAGGGTGACTGTTCAGAAGTTTATAAATCATGGAGGGGATAGATAAGGTGACTATCAAAGGTCTTTACCCTCGGGGACGGGAGTTCAAAACTAGGGAGTACTTTTAAGATGAGAGGAGAAATATTTAAGGACATGAGGACCAACTTTTTTACACAGAGAGTGGTTAGTATGTGGAATGAACTGCCAGTGGATGTGGTAAATGCAGGTACACTCATGGCCTTTAAAAGACATACAAGAAGTAGCTGAATTGGAAGGGTTTGGAGGGATATGGGCCATACACAGGCAAGTGGGATTAGCTCAGCTTGGGAACATAGTTTGCATGGAGTGGATGGACTGAGAGGTCTGTTTCTAAGCTGTATGACTCCATGGCTCTCTATGTAAAGCAACAATATTTCTTGTCCTCTTGGAGAATGGAGAAACATAATTAGCGCATACATCAGGATCACTGGATTCCCAGGGTGCAGAGAACGATTGGTTGGTTGCAATTGGCCTTGCGAGCTTCAACTAAGTGAGAGAGGTAGAGGAACAAAGGGTTACTATTCCATCAAAGTGCAGCTGGTAAGCAACTATCCCACAAACTCTTATTTTGTAGCATTTAACCTGTGTCTTGGGATGCCACCACCCAGGAAGCTGTTTCCTGAAATCTGCACCACTAAATTCTTGATTTGTGCGTACTCATCTGTGTGAATCCCCCAGTAGTTTGCTCCTCTGTTCCCAGGGAGCCGCCAGTGACTGGCATATATTTCCCAACCTCCCTACTGCACCCACAAATCCATGCCACCCTCACTGCTGTTTTAGGTTTGCCAACTTCCTGTCCCTCCAGCTTGTTGCTGTTACAGCTCCACCAAGCACTGCCCAACCTTATCACGCATCTCTCATGTCCTCCCCTTTGCTCCCCCTTTTACCCACAAATGACAACCTTTCCAAGTCCATCACGCACCTTGCCCTCACAGCTCATACAGCTCTGCCAGTATTACTGCTGCCGAGCGAACTTATCTTAAAAGGCTGGCCTTTCCCCTCATATGACAGCATCTCATTGTGCTCAGCAGTCTGCCAAGCTCTCTCCAGCCCTTCTTCTCTTGTGTGTGTGCCACTCACCCCCACTACAATCCTACTCCCCCCATGCTGGCATGCCAATTTCTACGCAATGGAGACTCTTAAATTATGAGAGTTAGTCAACTTGAGCATGTCATGTCAGTGAATTTCACTAGAAATCTGGAGGCTACCTTGGAACAGGAGAAAGAGGGGATGGGAGGAAAATGTAAGGAGCAGGCATTCACTCTTGACAGGCTGCTGAAGAGGGCTTGTAGAAACTCTGCTTCACATGTAATAACTTCCCTTTGGCACCCATTTACTGTTTTGATGTCTGTAGATTTCCTTTCATGTTAGCTGCCAGTCCCTTCTCAAATTTTTTCTTTGCTGTTCTTATAATATTATTCTGTTTTTCTTATATTTCTGTACTCAGTGACAGTGGAGGATCACATTGACTTCATCATCCCAGTTTAGGGAGAGAGCAGAACGATCAAATAGATCTATCACTCCTAAAGCTTGGCTTTTTGTGGCAACTTTCATGGGACATTATCTGATCATTCATACACATTGTTCAGGCGCAAACGTCAAGAATGACAATTTGACAAGTATTGTAATTGCAATTACATTGTACTTTTCAAAGCAACAAATGTCTCAAAGTAATGAAAGATTTTGCTGAAATGATAGGAAGCATTTTGAGAAGGGTTTAAGGATGCGGTGGATGTTGTGGGGCACAGAGATTTCCAAGATGTCATTCTAGAAAATAGAGCGAGACAACTGATGTTTTCTGCCACCAGTGATAGTGGGAATACAGGGAACAGCACTCATGAGATCAGAGTTGGAGATGCGGAGGCTGGTGCGGCCTGGATTTTCTCATTTACAGTTAAAGACCATAAGGCACAGAAGCAGAATTAGGACATTCAATCCATCATGTCATGGCTCATATGTTTCTCAACCCCATCACCCTGCCTTCTCCCCATAACATTTGATCCCCTCACCAATCAATATCCAGTCTATCTCTGTCTTAAATACTTTCAATGACTTGGCATCCACATTCTTCTGCAGCAATGAGTTGCACAGATTCACCACCTTCTGGCTGAAGCATTTCCTCCTCATGTCGTTCTAAGAGTAGTCCCTTCACTCTGAGGCCGTGCCCTCGGCTCCTAATCTCTCCATCTCGTGGAAACACCTCCACATCCATTCTATCCAGGCCTTTCTGTAAGTTTAAATGAGATTCCCCCCTCATCCTTATAAACTCCATCAAATACAGACCCAGAGTCCTCAACTGGTCCTCACATGACAAGCTCTTCAAACTCAGGATCATTCTTGTAAACCTCCTCTAGATCCCCCCCAACACCAGCACACCCTTCCTTAAATACAGGGCCCAAAACAGCTCACAATATTTCTGAACAGAGCCTCAGCCATACATTTCTTCTGTTGTATTCTAGCCCTCCTGAAGTGAATGCTAACATTGTATTTGTCTTCTAACTGCCAACTGAACGTCAGTGTTAAGCTTAAAAGAATCCTGAACTAGGACTCCCAAGTCCTGTTGTGCTACAGATTTCTAAAATTTTTCCCCATTTAGAAAATATTCTCCTCTGCTTCCTTGGTGGATCTTCATCTACTGTTTCTTCCTCTGCAGCTGCTGCTGGTTGCTGTGCTAGCTGGGTTCCTGGCTCTAATACAGGTGTGTTCTTCAGGCTGGCAGGATATCAGGACTAGTGTGCTTCAGAGGTCTGTGCTAGGAGCTCAACATTTTACAATTTATATCAATGATTTTGATGAAGGGACCAAAGGTATGGGAACCAAATTTGTTGATGACACAAAGATAGGTAGGAAATTGAGTTGTGAAGAAGACCTCAGGAGCCTGGAAAGGGATATAGCTAGATTAAGTGAATGGGCGAAAATCTGGCCAATGGATGACAGTGTAGGAAAATGTGAAATTGCCCATTTTTTCCCAAAAAAGTAAAAGAAGAACAACATTATATAAATGGTGAGAACTTGTAGAATTCTGAAATACAGAGAGATCTGGGTATCCTGGTGCATGAATCACAGAAGGTTATTATGCAGTTCAAGCAAATTATCAGGAAAACTAATACTATTGTGTTTTATTGCAAGGGGAAGTGAATGTAACAGTGGTGAGGTTACGCTTCAGTTGTACAGGACATTGGTGAGACTGTGTCTTGTGTATTGTACAAAGTACTGGTCACTCTACATTTATTAAGGATCTGAATGCATTGGAAGCAGTTTAGAGAAGGTTTCTGAGCCTTGCATCTGGAATGAATGAAACAGGAATGGGAATTGCTGGAGAAAGTTCGCAGGCCGAGTAGCATCTGTGTAAAGTCAGCAAGTTAATGTTTTGAGTCCAGTGACCCTTCCATAGAACCAAGGATGAGTGATGTGGCTTATGAGGAAAGGGTACACAGGCTAGGCCTCTATCCTCTGGGGCTCAGAAGAGTCAGAAGTGGTTTAATTGAAATGTGTATCCTGAGGGGTTCTTGACTGGGTAGATGTCGATGGGATGTTTTTTCTTGTGGGAGAATCTAAGACATTGAATTTGTTTGAAGCACATGCAGTGTGTTAGCACAATCTACCAGCACATGCTGCAGGTCTGACAGTGAGCGATCCCTGTGTCCCACAGCAACATGTCCATCTCCTGTCTGACTTTTTAGTGCTCCCCACTCTCACACGCTGCTTGCCTCTCTGTCTGTGCCAAAACGTTCCAATCCACAGAGGCTGGCAGCCTGTAACTGAGCTCTAAAGACCTTGTGCACCAATGATTAATGTGACCCACATAGACATGTCAGCCCATAGGTTAGTGCTGAGGTCAGTGCGCACTAAGAAAATAATGTGAAGTGGGCAGAGTCTGGCAGCTTCCAAATAAGCCTAAAGTTGTGAGTGCCAAGAAAGCATGTTCGGAGCCATGAGATACCTGTCCATTTCAGCGTGACAGTATCCTGTGGAGATGGATCACTGTCCCTGTCTGCGAGGTGACCTGTCAGACATTCAACTCATTGAAGTCATTGAACTCCAAAGTGTAGGTGGGCTCATGTTTTGTGTGAGTTGATCCCAGAGCAGGCATGATGAGGTGGTGACGTTGATCATTTGCTGATCTGACTTGCATGGATGAAGATTCAAGAAAGATGGTGGCCATAGATATGCAGCAATGTTGTTCAGTACAAGTTCATGATGGCCAAGGCAAGCATTCAGCAAGCTGCAGTCACTAGGTATCCCTCCCAATTTACCTATCGGCAATTTCCACTAACTGATTCCTTAGCGATGGAGAGGAGAATTGGAAGTGATGTGTAAATAAGGTCAAATTTTAATGAGATGCAAGTGAATGGAAATGAGGTAGTCACCACTCTAGATAGATTAGGAGTGCACAGATTAGGAAAAGCTAAATGACTTAGGAGTATGCAGACTCACAACCTGTGTCATTGATACAGCCAAGGGTAACAGAAGCTTGCGAACACCACTGCCTCCAAGTTCCGCTCCAAGCGGAAAGACACTCCATTGTTCTAACATTCTCACATTCCAATCACTTAATCTGAATTATCAAAGTCCTTTCTCTCCCAGCACTCTGCACTCCATGCTGCCTCCACCAACTATTGCATAAATGCTTCCCCGTCCATACTTCATCATTTTGAGTCATCTAGACTCAAAACATTAGCTTGTTGTCTCTCCATGGATGCTGTCTGACCCACTGTGATCTCCAGTATTTGTTGTTTTCAGACAGAGACATGCTGTCTACTTACTTGGCAGTTGGATGGTTCATTGCAACTTTGAGTAGTTCATCTTCATTATCGAATGTCATCATTTGCACTCCACGACTGACAGCGTATTTAATATGAGAGACTTCCTTGCAGGGATTTGCATAAATGATTCTCTGTGCTGGGACACCAATATCTCGTATCATTGCAATTTCATTCTGGTTGGGAAAGAAAAGCAAGTTAGGATATAAAGCAAGTAGAGTTGTCCCTCGTTTTGAATATGCATTTGCCATATATTACAGATATAGAGCATAATTTGAGAGGGATGTGGAAACTGTTGACTCAGCACTCACAATATAGTGGTCTAAATGAGTCTCTGAGTCCTGGGCTCTCTGAGTCCTGCACCATAAAACACCTCAGTTTCTGTTTTATTGTGGTAATCCCTTTTGACAAAAAGTAATGGGTGGGCACTGATGTGAAGCAAATATCTGGAGAAGGTGAATTTTTCCTATTCATTTGTGGGATGTGGGTGTTGCTAGCTGCCAGCATTTATTGCCCATCCCTAGTTGCCCTTGAGAAGGTGGTGTTGAGTTGCTTCCTTGAACCACTGTAGTCCACCTGCTGTGGGTTGACCCACAATACAATTAGGGAGGGAACTCCAGGATTTTGACCCAGCGACACTGAAGGAATGGTGATACATTTCCAAGTCAGGATGGTGAGTGGTTTGGAGGGGAACTTGAAGGTGGCGGTGTTCTCATATATCTGCTGCCCTTGTACTTCTAGATGGAAGTGGTTGTGGACTTGGAAAGTGCTGCCTGAGGATCTTTGGTGAATTTCCGCAGTGCAACTTGTAGCTAGTACACACTGCTGCGACTGAGCATTATTGGTGGAGGGAGTGGATTCTTGTGAATGTAGTGCCAATCAAGCAGTCTGCTTTGTCCTGGATGGTGTCGATCTTCTTGAGTGTTGATGTGGCTGCACTCATCCAGGCTAGTGGGGAGTATTCCATCACACTCCTTACTTGTACCTTGTAGATGGTGCACAGGCTTTGAGGAGTCAGGACGTGAGTTATTTGCTGCAGTATTCCAAGCTTTTGACCTGCCTTTGTAGCTACTGTGTTTATGTGGTGAGCCCAATTGACTTTCTGGTCAATGATAACCCCTAGGATGT